CTTTGATGCAGCGATTTATGAAAAATATGCGCAAGGAACAGCACCGCCGTAGGCGGAAGTTGTACTGGAATTTATAATAAGGAACCCCCAATACCCTATTCTAATTACTAAGGCCCCTACGGTACCCTACGTTAGCTTTAAACTTCAAGCCCGAGACCTTGGTCTTTATTTTTTCTTCAAAAGCGACGCTCAAAAACAGACGAACAAAACCCCCCTAAACTCTAATCCCTCAAGCAAGGCTGTGCAGCGTTTGGCGCGCAGGAAGGGCTGTCTCGGCCTAAACCCTAAACCCTAAACCCTAAACCCTAAACCCCTAAACCCCTAAAACCCCCAAGCCTAAAACACCCTAAAGCCCTAAAGCCCCAAACCCAAAAAGCCTAAACCCTAAACCCCTAAACCCCTAAACCTCAAAACCCCTAATCCCTAAACCCGAAACCCCTAAAACCCCCCAAACCTCCCCGAAGTCTCAGGATGGCCAGAAAGCCCTATAGAAAACCCTAAAGCCCCTTAAAAGTAAGTGAACCCTAAACTCTATAAAAACCCAAAAAAAGCCCTAAAGCCCAGGAAGTGAATGAACCTTACGAATATAGATTCTCTGAATGACCTAAACCCCCAAACCCGAAGCCCAAAAAACCCTAAAGCCAAAAAAGCCCTAAAGCCCAGGAAGGGCTGGGTCGGCGAGGAGAAGGGCTTTGACCCGCTGGGCGTCACAGACGCGCTGCCGGTGTACTGGGTCCGCGAGGCTGGGTCCGAGGGCCCCTTTTTTGGGGCTTAGGGCTCAGGGTTGAGGGTTTCGGGTTTAGGGTTTTAAGGTTTTAGGGCTTTTGGGTTTAAGGCTTAGGGCTTTGGGTTTAGGGTTTAGGGGTTTAGGGCTTAGGGCTTAGGGCTAAGGGTTTTCAGGTTTTAGGGCTTTAGGGTCTAGGGCTTGGGGCTTAGCGTTTAGGGTTTAGGGTTTAGGGCCGGGTCCGAGGGCCCCTTTATTTTCGGTTTAGGGCTTCGGGTTTTTGGGGTTTAAAGTTTTTTTGGTTTCAGGCTTTTGGGTTGTTTTAAGTTGTTAGGGTTTTAGGGTTTAAAGTTTTAAGGCTTTAGGGTTTTAGGGTTTAGGGTTTAGGGGTTGGGGTTTAGGGTCTCAGGTTTGGGGTTTGAAGCTTCCAGTGTTGTTTTAGAGTTTGTGGTTTCGGGTTTGGGGTCTAGGGTTTGAGGGTGCAGGTTCAGGGATTTAGGCTTGAGGTCAGGGTTTAGGGTTTAAGGTGCTGCGAGCTTGGTGCCCAGTGTTCGTGTCTTCTTCTAATATGGTGTTATAAGCGGTGCATAGTCATGGGCTATTCCCTAAACCATACTATGAACACCTTACCTACTCCGAGCTAGATTCATCAATTGAGGGGTACTGGTTGGGCTCCTCTCTAAGCCCTACACTCCAAACAAAACTTGAGGAGCGGTAGGGTCAGGGGCCCCTCGCGTTCGGTCTTGGTGTAGGGCAGCAGCGTAGGGTCCGGGTTTCATTTTCTTGTCACTGCTTCTTCCTTCCTGGATTTAGTTGAAGTTGGCTTTTCACATAGAGTGATCTTTGTGACACGGTCCCGCTGTCATTACGATGAGTAGGTGCTGTTGCCACCCATGCTGCGGTCGAGGATTCAGTATCGCGATGCCTGGACAACATGGCAAGGCCCGAAAATGACTCAAATGACCTCATAAACAAAAGGACCCCTACTTGGCGGACAAGGAGACCGCAAAAAGTGGGGATGTCGCGTTACACTTGAATCTTGAGATCCTTCTGTTTTTGTCGTCGGGCATGTGCCCGAAAGCGACAGTCCGTGCCCTTACTTCGGCTTTTTCGGCTAAACTGCAAAACGTCGAATCACAAAGCTTCCGGACGTCTTGAAGCCGTTTGCCCCAAGCGGAGTCCTTTGTTTGACAGCCCTTGCAATGGCGGATCCGTGGGATATTGAAGACCCATGGAGTGGCGCCGTTGGTGCAGCTCCACCGCATGATGCTGTGGATGTGGGTGGACTAGGGGGTGCTTGCATCCGAGTTCATCGCTTGAATGGGGAGTTGCTGGAAGTCGCTCTTACAGCCCGGGAGGCCAGCAATGTGGTGTCGAACAGAGACTTGAAGCAATGCCTTGCCAGAAACGACCGAAGAGACTTTGCTATTCTTTGTCAGCTTTTTGAGTGGCGAGTTTTTGTCAGATTCACGGATTGGTTTTTTCCATAGCCTGAAGTTTGGGCTCACCCCCCATGCTTTTTTTCGAGATCCTTCACCACCACGATGACAGCATAGGTGTCCCTGCAGCGCCCTTCTTCATCTGCCAGATGCGATTGATCCTCAGCTGATCTGGGATCATGTTTTTTGTTAGTTAAGGGTTGCGTCGTACTTTCGTGGGAAGGGGCAAGAAATCGTAGTCATCACCCAAACCCTAAACCCTAAACCCCAGACCCCAAACCCTGAACC